AATAGCATTTGATCTGATTTATGTGATTATTTATGTGATATGTGACTTATTGTGTTTTAATTAATTAACTGGCATGTAACTAAAATGTTGAGTTGATATTACTGATAAATTTGATTAATTAGCATCTCATTTATATAAATAAATTACATGAAATAATTAATGTACTCATGTAATTAAAATACATTTTGTTTAAAAATATTTATATATGTGATTAATTGCATGATGTGTGTTTAATTGTAATGCATATGATTAAGCATATCATATTCAGTATAGCATGTAATTGATTTGATTAAATTAATACATTTTTAATTGATTGGCCCTAATAATAGTAGACTAGCTTTATAAAAAGCTTCTTCTTCTTTTCTTTTACTTTTTAAATCCAATGCTTGACTCTCTTGGGTCTCTGAAGCACTAAGCATTTTCTGATTGAGTGCACCGAGATCTGGAGGATTTGGAAACCAAGATCATAATTCGCCTCTTTGGGCACCTTTACGCATCACGGCAGATTATTTCCTGTCATGTTCATTGACAGCTTCCTGCTGCTCATTTTTGGTGCTTCCTTTTGATCTTACAAAATCCCTAAGCTGCTGAAGTTACTGAACCAAGCCGTCTTCATCCAAAGCCGAAATGCCAAAAGCATTCACAGTTTTGAGCTGAATATGCTGTCCATCGGTAAAAACAAGTGATTTTGGCTTCTGTGGAGTCTCATCTTTTGCTTTCATATTCCGTATAATAGAAGTTGCGTCGTCTTTTGTGACTTTCTTGCTTTATATAGTCGGTTTCCTGGTGTGTTGATTGACAAGTACAAATGAGTGTTGTGTATATCCCACAGCCTTCTGAAGTTTTGCTGATGTCACTCGCGAGCAGATAAGCATTATGAGAGCACAGGGAATGTTCTAACCTCCCTTTGTTCAATTTCACACACTTTATGAAATGTCAGGTCTCGGTTCTCATCCGAGCGAGACACAAGCAAAAACAACACAAGCTGCCCGTGACGCTTGAGCGTTACCTGTCCTGTTGATTCTAGACATCACAACAAAACACAAGCTTTGATTTCACACCTTCACCAGTGGCCGGTTGAGACATCTAGGGATTCTTTTTTCGGCCTTTTTTGACAGTGTTACCCAGTTTCAGACACATTTCCCAGACAGTACTAGAGTCATTTACTTCTCAATGTCCACTAATGGAGAGTTCTTGATCTCCTGACCTCTCCTGGCATCCCCAAAATCAATATGGCACTCAATGGAGTACATTTAGGGTTCTCTCGCCACAGGAAAGGACGTCATCTGACTGTTTGATTTGTTGGAGCAGCTGTGTAAGCCGTAATAAGAACATTAAACATCTCAGCCTGACCTTATCTGAGAAATTGACCCTTCCACATCTTGCTTTATATTATAGGTCAAAATGCTTGGATCAAATGACAAATGACTTATTAAATATACACTGGGAGACTCTAAATACCATGTGAACATGAATCTAAGATCAAGTGTGTATGAGAAGTATTTTAACTAGATATGCACAGCACAATATATTTGTATCACATTGGTCTTAATTTATTGGTGTCTCTTGATATTGGATGTTTAATTGTGTATGCTTATTTCCTTTATGATTACCTTATATACTATTATATAATATACAAGGTGTATATAAATTTTGGGATCAGTTAATTTTTTACAAAAATATAACAAGGATGCATTAAATTGGTCAAAAGTGACTGTAAAGACACTGTTCTTTTGAAATATATGTTCATCAAAGAATCCTGAAAAATGTCACAATATTATTGTTTTTATTGTATTGTATTGTATTATTATTATTATTATTATTATTATTATTATCAAATAAATGCAGCCATGATGAGCATAAGAGACTTCTTTCAAAAAAACAAAAACAAAAATCTAAACGACCCCAAACTTTTGAATGGTAGTGTTCATTCATTCATTCAATAATTCATTCATTTATAATTAAAACAATTGATTTTGGTTTTTAGTGGTTTATTTTCAGTTCATTTAGAGAAAATTGTATTGAATTTTAATATCATCCATTTATTGGTTGTATTATGCTATGGCTGATAACCGATAAATGGCTCATATAATATGTTATCGGCTCAGATTTGAACTTTTAACATAAACTCCGTCTGCAAGATTTAAAATTAGTCTTGCTGGGGTCAATTTTTGATATCAAAAAGTAAATTTACAGGATTATAAATTCACATGAACCAGATATTGAGCACAAAATAGAAACCGTAAGAGATGTTTGGTGCCACAGAGATCTTTCATCTGTCGCACTCGACTGCACTGAGCTCTCTTTTTCCTGCAGTGTCATTTATGCATCTCTGGTTTCATAACCCTCCTTGTTGAAGCTTTGGAAAACGAGGAAAAAGAGAGATGGAGGTGTAGAGACTGGTGGGTTTGGGGGTTAAAGGAGAGGTGTCTCTTCAGTCACCTGACAGAGGTTGATCTCCTCAGCGCATTGGAGTGTGACCACATGACAGTTTGAGGGCATGCTGTATCCTGCTCTTTCTTCTGTCCGTGATACACAACAGCTCCAAACCACAGTCTCATCCCTTAAGAGGGTTTCAAACAAGCCAATACCCTCAAAGGAGAAAGCCTTTTGTGTAGATTTACACGCTCCCCACTCAGTGTAAATTTTGTAAACCGTAGTGAAAACCAGTGTCACAACTGTGGACGTCAGCCAGAAAGGAGAAGCTCTGTTGTTGTGCGGTTCACGCAGAAGAGCCATATTTAGACAAGCTTGTTGTATTGCATGCTTCCTCAAGTCCTGTTTTTAATGAAAATGTGTTCCCCAAGCTAAACTTTAATTTACTTTTATTCAGCAAGGACACATTAAATGTAACAAGAGTTACAGTAAAGACATTACAACGTTACAGATTATTTCTATTTTAAATATGTGATGTTCTTTTGAACTTTCTGTTCATCAATAATGATTGCCATAAAGATATTAAGCAGCACAATCATTTTTATCATTTATAATAATAAAGACTGGAGTAAACCAATTCAATCAGGCAAGATAAATGCAAAACAAAACTAAAGTAACTGATTACAATGCATTTAATTAATATTAAACTATATTTAAATTATATATATATATATATATA